GAAGTTAATATTCATTAGAACTCCAAGTACCTGCCATTTTTGTGACCCTACCCCTTCACCCCTCCCATTTAAATATATCATGTCTCCTTGGTAGAGTGAGCTGAGGCACCTCTGGCTTCAGACTCAACAGAGATCTTTTTCTTAATTTTCCTTTTTTTCTTGGGGGAAGAAAAAAAACTCTCTGCTCTATGAGAAATATTTATATCTATGCTATTCATTTATGTAACTGTAGAGCACTTGACATATGGCTAGAGAGACCTGAATTTTGTTTTGTTTTTTGAGAGATTTTTGCTACTCACCGGAGAGACAGAGAGAGGCAGAGAGACAGAAAGCGAGAAATCACTCCCCCAGGGGGTGGCCACGCCATAATCCCTTCTCCTCCATTCTCCTCTCAGGATTTTGGGCACACATGCACATGTGCCCAGTGTTAAGTTTTAAGCTGCTGGGCCCAGGCCTCGAATCATGGATGACTACGTGGGAGTCCAGTGATATAACCATTATACCATCTGCTGGTCCTAAGACCTGAGCTTTAAGTCTTAATTTTAATAGAAACTGAAGGAGCCACATATGACTAGTGGTATTGCACTGTGGACAAGGTAGCTCTAGAGAATAACCTACTCCCAGCTGAGAAGAAGGTCATCTTTGTAATCAGCCCTGGGGCTTCCTTGAGTCAGACCTTGATTTGTGAATGCAGGCAGGAGATTTCAATAACTTAAGTTAATGAACATCTGTTATGTACAAAGTACTATCTGTGCTCCTAAGAAGGGTCCAAAGGTGAAAGGACTGTAACTGTCTTTAAAAAGCTGACTCCTTAATAGAAAAGTTAAGTCACAGACACAGAGATAGAATATAATATGTATTAAGCCAGAAAAATGGGACCAAGTGAAGGAACAAAAATGCCAGAGTGATTCATTACGCTGGGACCAAAGGGAAGATTCCGCATAAGCTGGAGCCTTGGGCCAGGTTCCTTAGTTCCATTAGCCTAGCTTCCTGGAGGAAGATGAACAATGAACCCGGGCTGTGAGAGAGGCAGTGGAGGAAACAGTACAGGGAGAGGCAGCACAGCCTTGGTGCAAATCCAGGTGTGCTATATCTACTTTTATTTTTTTTTTGAGAGGTTTTTGCTATAGGGCACGTGTGCTCACTGGAAAGACAGAGAGACAGAAAGTGAGAAATCACCCCCCAAGGGGGATGGCCACACTGCAATCCCTTCTCCTCCATTCTCCTCTCGGGATCTTGGGCACACATGCACACGGGTCTGGTATGAGTTTAAACCACTGGGTCCGAGACTCAAACCACGGTCGACTACATGGGAGTCCAGCAACATAGCCATTATGCCAACTGCTACTCCCCGAGGTGTGCTATCTACTATTACCTTTGTGACCCTGGGAAATTTACTTAGCCTCTCTAAGTCTCTGCTTCATCATCTATAAAATGTGGTTTACATTTAAAAAATAATAATTATTTAACTTTATTTATTTATTTATTTGAATCTGACCCAAGAAGGTCAGAATGAGAGTAAAAAAGAGAGGGAGAGGAAAATTGAGAAAGCAAGCTACCAGGTCCGGTACTTGAACCATAGTCAGCCATATGAGAGTCCAGGGGCCTCAACCACCACGCCACCTGCCAGGTCCCAAATGTGGTTTACATTTTTGAAGTATACGTTTTTCACGATTTACATTTTCCATGAACTTGTTAAAGGCCCTTAGTACCTATGTCAGAGGATTAAAGGAGCAGATTAGCTTATTCACTTAAAGTAAACACTGAAAAAAATGGGGGCTTCCCATGTTGTCACTGTCATTATATCAGACAACATAGTTAAAAAATAATGCCAAAGCGGGCCGGGATCTCAAATAGGCTACACTACAGAGATGCCATAGCATGGAGCTGAAAGGCTGAGAGGATGGAATGGGAATGATGAAAAGTGCCCGGGAGGTAGAGAGATCAGTATCATCTTTCTAGAGACATTTAAATGCTTGAGAACTCCTTGGGAACCAGCAGTTAGCGTAATGGCTATGTCGCTGGACTCCCACGTAGTCGACCGCAGTTCGCGTCCCGGACCCGGTGGCTTAAAACTCACGCTGGGTGCGTGTGTGTGCGTGCCCAAGATCCTGAGAGGAGAATGGAGGAGAAGGGATTGCGGCATGACCATCCCCCCTGGGGGGTGATTTCTCGCTTTCTGTCTCTATGTTTCTCTCTGTCTGTCTGGCGAGCACACGTGCCCTATAGCGAAAAAAAAAAATGCTTGAGTGCTCCTTATCTACTTAGCAGCAAGGTGGGTTTAATATCCTTGTTTTCATTTTTAAAATGCTATGGTCATAAATTATAATTTATAATAATAAAATTATATATATTATATAAGTTAAAAATTACAATAATTTAGGCCTACAGGCAAATTGGAATTATAAGAAGAAATGGAAAACACAAACCAGGACTAGGAGTTATATCTCTCAATGTCATGATGCTAAGGGTTGAGCTACTGACATGGGAAAGGGGTAGGCTGAGGTATAGGCTAGTACGTTAACACTGCCTGCAGGGCTCCAGTGTATGCAGTGCCTCGTAGGGGAGCAAGCCTTAGTTTCCCTCCTGAGTCTTGAGGGCCCTACTCACCATCACAGTCAAAGAGTGCAAATACCACATCACACACATGGTCCGAGAGTTCCACTTTGGCCACTGTCCTGGCCACCTGCTGCATGGTCACTGAAAGAAAGAGGACAGGGGTTGAATTAGAACAGTAGAGGGATTTTCATTTTGCTTTCTCTGAATGAGAGGATAAAATGGGTCAGTTATAATAAAAGTTATCAACTGCCTAATTAAGTCATATTTAAGAAAATGATAATTTAATTTTTATCTATAACACACGTCCCTTTTCACCTCAGGTTCCATTATTTTCTACTGCTGCTACATTTTAGGAAGTATATATAGTTAGTTAAGAATGCCTGAGGGCTGGCCTTGTGTCCTATTAGTTAAGGGAACCAGGTCCTACATGGCTAAATTTGTAGACAAGTCCCAGAATCAGTGGCTTGAGAAATATGCCAGGCATGTGTGTGTGCATGCCCAGAATCCCAGTAGGATGGAGAAATGAAGAAAGAACTGCAATATGACCATGCCTCACTGAGGGATCCTTTCTCTCCCTCTTCCTCTCTCTCTCTGTCTCTCTCTGGTGAGTACATGCACCCTCTGGCAATTAAAAGAAAAACAAAAAGCTTGATATTGGGCTGGCCCTTTAGCCTAGTAGTTAAGGGGACCAGATCTCACATAGTTAACCATGGTTTGAATTTCAGCCCTGGAGGCTTAAAAAAACTCTCTAGAAATATGTACCCCAAATTCCGATAGGATGGAGAAAATGAGAAGGGCCTGTAATGTGACCATGCCCCATTAAGGGGTGCTTTCTTCCTCAGTCTCTGCCTGCCTCTCTCTGGTGAGTGCTGTTCCTTCTAGCAATTAAAAAGAAAAGATTTTTTTTTTTGAGAGAGAGATTTTTGCTAAAGGGCGTGTGCATGCTAGCTGGAGAGACAGAGAGACAGAAAGTGAGAAATCACCCCTGAGGGGATGGCCACACCACAATCCTTTCTCCTCTATCTCCTCTTGGTATCTTGGGGATGCATGCACACATACCCAGTTTGAGTTTTAAGCTGTCAGGTCCCCAAAATAAAAGATTTTTAAAATAATTCCTGATATGAGAACCAGCAGATGGTATAATGGTTACACCGCTGGAGTCCCATGTAGTCGACCATGGTTCGAGTTCTGAACCCAGTGGCTTAACATACAGCGTGCATGTGCATGCATACCCAAGATCCCAGAAGGAGAATGGAGAAGAAGGGATTGTGGTGTGGCCATTCCCCACAGGGGTGCGGGGCGGTGGGGGTGGTGGGGATT